AGTTACAGCTTTCACAGGCAAAAACGTTGAGAAAAAGATTACCAGAGATTTCCTTAAAATTTGACCACTTCGGAACGCACTGACACTTTCACAGCCATTTAGACTTCTAAAAAGTACGGATAATATCAAATCATTTTCTTTTCATTTCACAAAAGATTTTAAAACTTTATTTTGAATAATTGAAAAGCAACAAAATATAGCAGATAAAAGACCAATAATCTGTCAATTCAAAAAATGGAAACAATGATAGAAAGCGACAAAAATATACAATGAATCATCAAAGAGTGATTTTAATCATTTTAATCGACGGGGACGTAGAAGGCCAAGAAGCAATCAGTATCGTTCTGTCGTACACGTAGATGCAGTCCTTGGTTGAATCAAAACGTCGACGGAACATTGAGCTTTCTTCCCTGAAGAACCAGAACCACCAGAACCAGAATATCCAAAATTCCTCACAAGATCGTTCGCCTGTTTGAGAAGTCGAAGACGATTCTCTCCATCGATTCGTCGCATTCCTGGATATTGTGAGAGATCCATCGTGAAGTAAGATTTATATGAATAAAGGAAAATAGCAGCCTCAGGGTTCTTGCTCGGGATTCCATTGGTGATGATCTGTTGAATAATCAAATCAATGCAACGCGATGGATAAGTACGCATAGCAACGTTTTTGATTTCAGCCTTCAACAAGGCGTTGTAGCAAAAGCGAACTGAATCTTCAGAATCACAGCCAAACCAAATCTTCTCGCAATCCTTGAGTTGAGGTCCCACCATAAAATTCTCGATCCGATCTTTGATCACTTGATCATTGAAAGCACTGCGTAGATATCCAGTACTGCTTCTTTCTTGATCGATGCGTGGAAATTTGAGAAGAATCTCTCCAGGGCTTCTTTTGAATTCCGGATCCAGCCACAATTGGTCGCACGATCGGATCTTCTTGACGAAAGAAAAGTGAAAAAAGAGAGGATCGACATTGAGCTCCATTGCATTTGAATTGGAAAACTTCATGATCCAAATCTTCTCATCGTCGAATTGAATACCATAGACGTGCTCTCCAAAAACGATTGACGGATCCCTCACGAGCATCCCTTGGAATCCTTGATTCACCTTGGCCAACTCATACACATCCCTTGGTTCCATTTGTTCCAACGCTTCCAACTTCAAATCGAAGCACAACTTCTCCATTGGAAATGACCTCAAATTCTTCATTTCGATTGACGCCATTCTTCCACCTATAAATAAAAAGATTAGACTTTGTTTTGAAATAAAGAGGTGCTTTACGGATAACGGAAATGTTAGGAAATAGTGAAATTGAGATACAAATAAAGCCGGAATAAGTCACAAATAAGTCAATCCATCAAGAAATCGACAACTGCTTCAAACAGTAACTTCATCATCGAACAATATTTTATAAATTTATTCCAAGTAACAACGATAACGAGAAAAGCTAGCAAAACATAACGAAAAGGTACTAAGGCAGTTGGGGGAGCACTTGAAATTTGCTCAAAAGTAGTTTTTCTAGGGTAATTGATGGCCTTGATCACGAAAAACATTTTTAAGTCATGTTTTCAATTAGAAACTTATGCGCCTCTGTGGTGCGGAGCCAAAGCCTAGGAAATATAGGGACATGCAGTTTTTTCAAAACAAAGAAAGTTAATCCAGTACATGTTTTTTAATCGAAAACATAACTTAAAAATGTTTTTTCGTGGTCAACGCGGGTAATGTGTAGAGGACGGCCACACAGATGTCGGCGAAACCACATACTAAACAAAAAGTTGTACAGTGTAGCCCAAGTTTAATGGACCATTTTCAATTGCCCTCAAATCTCTCAAAAGTACCCACAAAATAGTCCATCCACTCGGTCACCCAACAATCGACACAATGAAAAATCGTCGACGAGAACCTAAAGGCAAAACATTTTGATTGAAACTTTAAACGCCAACCAAGCAATCATTCCGACAACACCGTATCCCCACCAGATTTGTTTCTTTTGTATATTTGATCGCCAGCCAAGTTGTTGCCAAAAGAGATACGTCGTGACGAAGTTGAGAAAAGAGAAGATAGCCGATGTTGGTTCCTGAAACAAAAAGTAAAATAAGAAACACTTGTTCGCACCTGAATGACGATTGCCCCGAGTTGGGTCGCGGCGAGCGGCCATTCTCTGTGAAATTTCCGCCGGCGAGTTGCCAGGTTGGGTGATTCGAATGGTCGCATCAGTGGCCCACATGCAGTCGTATTTGCTTCTAAATAAGATGATTAGTTATGCGTGTCAAATAAAAAAACTCACCAAAAACATGGCTGCCTGCTCCAACCGGGCTCGTTCAATCGTTATGGGCCCCGTGTTCTTTTCGGCATCGTGAAGTGCATTCGCGGTAGTGTGGCTAAATTTTAAAGACGCGAATAATGCAATGGTTTTAAGCAATCTTTGTCAAAACTCTCTTTGTTCCACGATAATTTGAACTCTGAGGGGTTTACAGGCCTGATACTGCTTAAAAGAGTCAATATTTTGAGTGATAACGTGGTTTTGCCACTTCTAAGAGCGCAAAATCGAGCATAACACCACTTCTGGCAACCATAAGCCTACTTCTAGCAGCCAGAAAGCAGCGCAGATCTACCCCTACGTTTTCCTAGTTAGGCTTAACCACTTACATGCCAATCCCCGAGTGACCCACTAGTTGAATCGATGAAGAGAAGCGAAAACGACGAGCAAGACGGTGATCGACGACGGAAGATAGCGACCCGACATAAATGAACGTGTGATGGCCCTAAAAATGGACATTGTATGCGTTGATGATGGAAAGAATGCAAAAATTGAGAAGCAAAAACAGCAAGTTAACAAAAACAACCGCCAAGAGCAGCTCCGAAAATATTGTGGCAACTTTTGCGCAAAACATTGTTTTATACCTTATCAAGCCAGTTTAATCCTATTGATTTAATTAACTGAATATTTTCACTTTTCTGTGCAGGAAGCGCCTGCTTTTTATACATTGCATTTATACATTTTTTTCGAGTGTCCCCCTCTCTGAATTTTCAGTTTTTACTCCCTTTTTCTTACGACACATTGCAAAATTGCGGGAAAACCGTTTCGATATCTTAGGCCAGAAAAGAAATTTGACAAAGAACTTTACATAAATTTTTAAATTGGAGACATCAAGTCATTTGTATGATTCATCAGCAAAAAATCAATGGCCTGCTTTTAACTGGGACAAAACCATATAGTTCCATTCCAATAATGTTAAACTTTTATAAGCAGAATGTTCTCAAGTAAAAATGAAATAAACTCACGGACGAGCCGTTGTAAAGAAGAAAATTTTGTGGAGAAAATATGCCGTTCCAGATAAGAAAATTGACGCAGAGAAGTCCCTAAAATGAAACAATTAATGCGTGTTGACGATAATTTCCTGCCATAAGCAAACGGAGCAGAAAGAGAAAGAAAACAATCCAGGGTAGACATGCCGTAAATACTGTAATTGAACCCTATGGGGTTTTTTTTTTTTCTTTTTTCCGTGGGGGGTTTTTTTTTGTTTTTTTTTTTTTATTGGGTAATTTTTTTTGGGGGTGGGTGGGGTTGATTTGTGGTTTGGGGTTAACCTAGGCGGAGACTTTAGGGGAACTACTCTCCCCTTTTACACTTTGTAGATTTCCTCGCCACCCAATAAGCCATACACAATGGCTCATACTTCAAAAGATGCACAAAAAATATGCTATCGAATGGTATTTTGAATATTTTGAATATTTGATTGAATTAAGTATTATCTTGCTAGTCAAAAGCCTTCTAAGTTTTCCAATTCAATGAAGCTCTGGGTCGATCCTTTGTTCCTGACTTTTTCGTCAAAAAGTTTCGCTCGTGTGATCGCTTGTCGTTTGGTTATCCATTTGGTGGTTTTAAACGTTTGAAGAAAGAATTCAACGAGAAATGCACACTTCTGAACAATTTGAAGCCGCTGAGTCGATTGGAGCTAAAGGAAGGGAATTCAAAAGTACGCCTCGAGAGATTCTTCTCGAATTTTCACGCATCGATCAAGAACGAAACAGAATTGGATATCCGATTCGGTAAACCCAATAATCTTTATGTCATTTCATTTAATGATCAAGTGACCGAAGATCTCATCGAGAATTTCATTGCTGGCACATCTCAAGGATTGCGAGAAAATTGAATTTGGGTTTCGTTATGATTCTCAAGATTTATTTCGCTTTACTACAACTCCTTGTTGAAGCCACAAATCAAAACCATTTATATGGAGGCTTATCCAATGGCTACATTGACTGGATTTCTCAACAGATCGTCACCAATGGTATCCCGAGCAAGAACCCTGAGGCTGCTATCTACTTTGCTTCTGAGTTTGGCCTCAGGAGGGATCTCTCACAATATCCAGGAATGCGACGAATCGATGGGGAAATTGTCCTTTGGTTTCTCAAATAGGCGAATGATCTTTTGGAGAATCGTGGAATCTTTTCTTATGGTTTCGTCTGAGGAAAGCTCAGTGTTCTGTCGATGCATTGATTCGACCAAGGACTGCATTCCCTTGTACCAAAAGAGCGATTCGGAGCTTCTTGGCCTTCACAATCCTGGTGGATTAAAATGATCACTCTTTGATGATACATTGTAATTTTTTTGTCGCTTTCGATTATTGTTTCCATTTTTGAATTGACAGATTTTGGTGTTGTATCTGTTTTCATTTTATTACCTTGAAATTATCTAAAATGAACTTTTTTAAAATCTTTTGTGAAATGAAAAGAAAACGATTTGCTATTATCTGTACTTTTTAGAAGTCTAATTGGCTGTGAAAGTGCCAGTCCGTTCCGAAGTGATCAAATTTTCTGATAAATGTCTGGCAATTTTTTTTTCTCAAGGTTTTTGCATTTTGAAGGCTGTAACTTGCGAATTTTCCCATTTCAAAACCTTCCCAAATCTATATTTTACTACTAAGACTCTTTTGAACTCTTCAGCGGCTGCAATTTTGACGGTTTTCGCCACTCCTCCCGTATTTTTGTATTTTTTTTGGGATCCCCTAAAATGCATGGATGCAGATGAGACCTGGAAATTGAGATTTGGTATTAAAAATGCAGAGTTTCCGATTAGTTTCCCTTCAAAACCCGGTCAAGTCGCTTTATGTAATCTCTTTTAGATAAAGCGCGCTTTCTGGTGCACCAAAATGATTTTTCATTTTCGTTGGAAGAAAAGTTTTTAACGAGGAAATGTGGTGCTGTGTCTGTGTTGCTACTGTGATTTTGATAGCCCAAGTCTAGCTGCCCCGAATTC